AGTCAGCAACTAATTATGGGATATCCTAACTCTATCATCCTGTGTCCTTGAGAACCAGTATTTTTGGTGTGGAAGAAGTTAATAAAAACCCTGTAGTCCTGAGGTCCTTTCCAAGTCTGTTTGAACAATTGCTGTCTTCAACCTGGCCTGTCTCCAGGCTTGATTTCTAACTTTTTGCTTAAAGAATTATCCTTTATTCACTTTATATCTCCTGTACCATATGAAACAGGCTTTCATAAATGTTTGGTCAATGAATAAACGACTGGGAGTAAGAATCAGGGAAAGGATCATACATGTGGGGAAGTTCTTCTATATATCTGTACTATACTTCACTTAATTTTTACAAAAGTCTTGGAGACTGTTGCAGATACAGTAAGATTTATTAATATGTGCATGTTCTTTCATTCCCCCTCCTTTAACCAGTTCTCTAGAGAGAATTTTGTCCTTTCAAGTTTAGTTTCTTCCCTCTCTTCCACTTCTAAGAAGAATTTTTACCCTCTGGTTCTTAGGTTTTTTGTGACTCAGGATTAAGACAATAGAGAGGTTGCATAAATCAGGCTAAGGGAAGCTTAGTAGGATTTTTGCTTGCAGGATCTCCTTTGTTATGAAGAACTCAGGTTTAAGGCAAATTGGAGAGAACACAAAATAAAATGTAAAAAACAAACAAACAAACAAACAAACCCTATAGTCCTGATTCTGAATTGCAAGCCTCAGTATTTTATCTAGCTCAATAATAAACATCTCTAGAACCTGGACTGTAGACTATAAACACCATTTCCCACTAAAAGAAGGCAGGTGGTCTTGAGAAATGGCTGATTCCAGGTCTCGGGCAGGAAATGAGCATACCAGAGAACAAGGATGCAACCAAAGACTCCTAGGGTTGGGCTGGGCGTGGTGGCTCATGCGTGCAATCCTAGCACTTGAGGCCAGGAGTTCAAGACCAGTCTGAGCAAGAGCCAAACCTCCTCTCTACAAAAAACCAGAAAAATTAGATGGGCGTGGTGGCACAGCCCATAGTCCCAGCTACTGGGGAGGCTGAGGCAGGAGGATAGCTTCAGCCCAGGAATTTAAGGTTGCAGTGAGCTATGATGAAGCCACTGCACTCTACCCTGGGCAACAGAGTGAGACTCTGTCTCAAAAAAAAAAAAAAAAAGACTCCTAGGGTCGTGGCACTGGCCAAATGAGAGACAATCTGGCCACCAAAAAGGATAATAATTGCAACTCGAACCCATCAAACATGCTTAAATCCATGACTAAAACCCATCAGACATTTAAATTCATAATTGAAACCCACTACATGTTACTGTTTATTCAACACATGCTATATATTTAGCATTACGTTAGGAACTTCAGAAAAGTATCACTCCAGAAAATGTCCCATTTTAAGGTGAAAGTAATCCTTTAATGATTAAAAACAATTTACTGAAGTGGCTAGAAACAATTCAAAGATTAGTTGTACACATACACAGTATCCCTCTTCCTAACAATTTAATACACCATGTCTTGGCATCTTTCCTAACTTCCTACATCAGATGTTTACAGGTAATTTTAACAGACTAGGAAGGAAAACCGTTCCAAAGCTCTTTTATTTTCCTACACCCTCTCCTCAGTAAAAGTCTATACTTACAATCCTAAAACTTCTCTAAAGCTAAAAGTGCAAGTGTCAAATCAATTGTTTTTTGATAAGAAAAATAAATAGCCTCAACGATCACTATTTTCATCCATGAAGTTTCACACACTTCTGTTAATGCTTTCTTGCTATAATGTATCAGTGAAAATAAGAATGGTCGAAACTATGGAATTTTTATTTTAAGCAACCCATCCACCCTAAAACATCAAAGTTCTGAATTGCTATTCTTTACATTTTCATTCTCCTGTTACAATCTTACAAACTAGACAAAGCTAGGTTTAGCCATAAATGATCAGTATCAAAAGTTAAGGTATGTAGGCCAGGTGTAGTGGCTCATGCCTGTAATCCTAGCACTCTGGGAGGCCAAGGCCGGAGGATTGCTTGAGGTCCAGAGTTTGAGACCAGCGTCAGCAAGAGCAAGAACTGGTCTCTACTAAAAATAGAAAGAAATTAGCAAGGCAACTAAAAATAGAAAAAATGAGCCGGGTGTGGTGGCTCACACCTGTAGTCCCAGCTACTCAGGAGGCTGAGGCAGGAGGATCACCTGAGCACAAGAGTTTGAGGTTGCTGTGAGCTAGGCTGATGCCCTGGAACTCTAGCCAGGGCAACAAAGCAAGACTCTTCTCAAAAAAAAAAAAGTTAAGGTATATCTATGTTGATAAAAAGAAATCAAAGGCTAAAACTAAATGTATAAACACCAGCTGTTTGAATGATAAAATAAAAAAAAATTTTCCTAACTCCTTTAAACATAAGAATAAAGAATCTAAGAACACCAATCACTTCAATACAAAATACTCTTAGTAAATACACAAACATCTAATACAGAGAGGAGGTGGGGGACTTTAAATCCTCTATCAGGACAAAAACCTGTCCAAAAAAAATCAGATGATTTCCCCAGCCACTTGGTGTTCCAGTAAGACAGGATATTAAAAAGCTATCTTTTAAAAACTTTCCAACTATTTATACATTTATAGGCAATGTATTTTATCAAAAAGGGAAGCCAGTGTGTACAGACCTGATAAATTGAATAAGAGGTTTTAAGTATTTATCTCCAAATAGTTTGATATAATCTTGTATATCAAAAAACTCCTGAAAATAAAATGCTTTTAATTGTAGAAAGGGATACATTTGGACCAACAATCGATTCAAGAGGAATAGTGGCGATCTAAGCATTTATGTTTTAGGGATTAATTTATTTTTGAAAGAAGGCATCTAGTCCTTTTTAGGCTTATCTATATAAATACAAATTAGTTGTTCTGCGTCCATTTTTTTAAAATCAAGATGTTCCATAACAGACTATAATTCAGAGGTAAAAATGACTGCCCCCCCCCCGAGAGTTCCATTTTTTAAATGTAATAAATGGAAATATAAGATTGAACACATCACAGTCATGGTAAGTTGACTCTAAGGAAGTTCAGCTTGTCTACATGACCATTAACTCAAGCACTGGGGAAGCAGCAGTTTTTTTCTTTCTAAAATCAGGCTAGTTGTTAGAAAGATACACTACAACCATAAGCAAATCTTAAGAGAAATGAACACTTGCTAATAAAGCCAGAGAAATTATACATCACTTAGTGAAGGTTACACTCTTTTACTAGGCAGAGAACCCACTTATTAACATTGCACACAAAGAAACCTTTCCTCTTCCTGCTCCCCAATCCTCACCCAAAGACTACAAAGTAATCAGAGATGCATCCTCCTCTACAAATTAACTCAAGGGTGTGAAAACAACTCCTACCAGAATTCAAAACAACAATGAATCGGAATGTTCCTTTCAAAAAACTTACACTAACCTTACAGCATAAATTTCAGATTCAGAACATTTGGAAACAAGCCTAATAAAATGCTGGGCATATGAAACAAATTAGCTATCCTAGAAAGTTTACAAGACAGTCAAAACTGTAGCATCTGGAATTTGTCAGATGATTACCCTGGGTCCTCAAGACAATAAACAGAAGTGACACTTCAAATACCCACAAATATGACAACAAAAGGCTGGACATAGGACAACATGAGAAAATACCACCAAGACTCTGAAACAGAATCAAAGCCACAAAATTCTGGGAATAAGCCAATTTCTTATGGCCAAAAAGGATCATCCCTTCCTTTCCCTGGCTCTTTCAGACTAATAAGTTCTCTAAGTGTGCCAAAGCACAGATAAAAAGAAAACTTTAACATAAACAAGTTTAAATTCATTACAGAGCATGCATAGAGTATACAAGAATGTATATGCACTTAGTACATTCTTTAAATGACCAGGACTTCTACAACTAGGCAGATGCATTATTTAATTCTCCCAAAATACAGTTATTTCCCCTTTCCTAATAACACTGAATGCCATGTTTTCAACTCACATTGTTTCTCCAGTCTTGGCTACATGACAAAGAAACTGATCCAGGACAGGACAAACTTCCTTTTTCCCCCTCTTCTCAAAATCTAGATAAAGGAAGAAAGAAACGTTATCAGTGTTTCTCAAATGCCCTCTAAAAACAAACTTTCCTCCCAGTCCTTCCCCGTATTAAAAAGCAATTTTTAAAAATCAGCCTCTCAACCAAATACCCACCTAGACCCTCCGAGTTCTACTTCCAACATGTCACCCTCGTTACATATAACAAGAATCCTCCTAAAGGGGGCACTCAACTTCTCCACAAACCATCCTTAACGCAGCGCTTCTCAAAGTGTACTCGAAGGGAACACTAGCAACAGATTCATCTGGGAATCCAGTTAAAATAAAAATGCCCAGGCCCTGACTCCCACAAATTGTTTATCTAAGAGAAGTCCATAAACCTGTCTTTTTAAGAAACACCAGCTACCCCAAGCAGCCGTCCCCCAAATGACTGAATGTCAAAAGAATAGTTCTCAAAACGCTGCCATCACGCTATTCTAAGTTTGAGAACCACCGTTCTCAAGCCTGTTGCTTGGAAGGAAAGCAATAAAGAACAGTGAAGGGAACCACCTTAGAATCAGGGCGCGTGAAGAATGACTTCAGAGGGCTTCCTAAGACAACTTAAAAGTTGCTCTGCCACCCCCCCCTCCACGCTTTTACTTTTTCTCTCACCCCGACGCTTAGCGTGCGGGGGCCCTGGAGAAGAACCGAGCCTGCCTGGGAGGGAGGGGGCTGCGGGCCCAACACTCGAGCCCAAAGGGGTGGGAGAAGGTCTGGGGCCCCAGGGAAAGGTTCCCCGGCTCCCCTCCCCCAGCCCAGACGCCGGCGGCCGACACAAAGCCCAGAGCGGGGCGGGAGGGAGCTGCCCACAGAGCTCCCCGCCCCTGGGGAGGTGAGAGGGGGATGGGAGCCGGAGAAGCGCGCCCCCCCCCGCCGCTCGGCCACGGCTCTCGGAAACACCAGCCCTGAAGGGTGAAGAGGAAGGGCCGCGGAAGATGAGGAGGAAGGGAGAGGGGGCAGCTACCCCCACCTTTCAGCGCCTCCTGCAGCCTCTCGACGTCCATGGCTTCCCGGAGTCCCTCGCAGCCTCCGCCTCCCTCCGCGGGTCTCCCGGGGACCGGAACGCCTCCCCCCACCCCCCCGACACCCTCCCCCTCCCTCGCACACACTCCGGCACGCAGGCGACGGGGGGGAACGAAGGGAGCCGGGGGAAGCGAGCGAGAGAGCGAGACCGAGAGAGCGAGCACCTCCCCGAGCCGCTACCACCAGCCCTCCAACATGGCGCCCGGCACGTCACCGCGCGCACGCTCCCCGCCGCCGTCCTCGCGCCCGCCGCGCGCTCCGGCCCGGAGCCCGAGAGCGCGTGCGCGGCGGAGGCGTGCGGCCGGGCCCTGAGCGACCCGGGCGTGGGCGGCCGCCTTGGCACCTCCCTCAGACGCAGCCCACAGACCAGCCTACGCAGAGTTAAAGACAGCGTGGTCAAGGCAGAGGGTTGCTGGCAGACTCCCTGGCTTTGAATCCCTGCCATTGGTTCGCTGTGTGACCTTGAGCTATTTACTTCGCTTCTCTGAGCCTCATTTTCCCCATGTGTACAGTGAGGGCACTAGTACCAATCACTGTATACAATTGTGAGAATTGACTGAGTGTGTACACATCGCGGTCAGAGTATACATAAATCAGTGTAATCCTAAAGGGAATACCGCCATGCCTGAACCCAACATCTGTCACTGGCCCACCCAGGAAGAGAAGCAATGCATATGGCAAAGTAGTTAAGAGCTTGATTTTTGGAATCAGTAGGATTCAGATCCCAACTCAACTACTTACTCCCTGTGTGACCCTGGACTAGTCACCTAGACTCACGGAACCTCAGTTTTCTTATTTCTAAAATGGGGATTGGAAAACAGCCATGAGGACTGAGTGAAATGGTGAAATGTGAACCGTTTAGGAACTCATAATAAACACTCAATTAAAGTAGCTGCTGTTTTTATTACCATCGTGATCATTATTACATAAGCGTCCAGGAAGTAGGAAAGGGTGGGAATCTCAAAAGTCATCTTCAGCCCTGACATTTTACAAATGAGAAAGCTGGGGCATAGAAAGCTAGTCTGGCAAGACAACACCAGAACCCAACACATCTGGCCGCCAGTCAGTGTGTGGACATTTTTATACTCTTGTCTGTGAGCTTTTTTTAAAAAAAATCTCCTTCTGTAAGAGCTTCACTGTACAATAAAGTTGCTACTCACCATGTATGTATGGGTATTGAAATTTAAATTAATTAAAATTAAATAAAATTTACTGTAATCTTAGCAATCTGGGAGGCCAAGGTGGGAGGATCGCTTGAGGTCAGGAGTTGTAGACCAGCCTGAGCAAGAGCCAGACCTCACCTCTACTAAAAATAGAAAAAATTAGCCAGGCAACTGAAAATAGAAACAAAAAATAAGCAGGATGTGGTGGTGGTGAGCACCTGTAGTCTCAGCTGCTGGGGAGGCCAAGGCAGGAGGATCGCTTGAGCTCAGGAGTTCGAGACCAGCCTCAAAAAGAGCAAGACCCCGTCTCTACTAAAAATAGAGAGAAGTTAGCTGGACAACCGAAAATATAAAAAAATTAGCCGGGCGTGGTGGTGCATGCCTATAGTTCCAGCTACTTGGGAGGCTGAGGCAGGAGGATCGCTTGAGCCCAGGAGTTTGAGGTTGCTGTGAGCTAGGCTGACGCCACGGCACTCTAGCCTGGGCAACAGTGAGACTCGGTCTCAAAAAAAAAAAAAAAGAAAGAAAGAAAGAAAATTTAAAATTCAGTTCCTGAGTTCTTGAATAAAATCCAGTTCTTCAGTCACACCAGCCACATTTCAAGTGCTCAGTAGCCACATGTGGCTAGTGGCTTCTGTACTGTACAATATAGATAAAGAAAATTCCCTCAACCCAATAAGTTCTATTGGAACTTACTATTAGAGAACACACAATGCCAATTTCTAACACTTTGCTTTGTCTCTTTCATCACTCTCAGCTTGTCAGACTGAATTTCTTATGGCTTTCACACCTGGCCCTTATGTCAAGGCTTGTGCACCTGTGGTTTTTCTGTTTGAAAGCTCCTCCTCTCCAATTCACCTGGCTACCTTCCTCTCCTAATTCAGGCTTCAGCTTAAACATCACTTCCTCTGGGATACTTTCCACGATTCCCCTCAGGCTGTCTTTGCTGTGTGCACTTTGTCTCTTATCACAGATCTTATCCACTGTTTGGAAGTTGAGACTGCAAGGGGAGGAGAGGCAAGAGATGAGGCTGAAGAATTACTTCCTTTCATTCATTTCTTCCTTCTTCCTTGGACTTTTTCCCTAGCCGGTGTGTATCCCAATGTCTGCTATCACTAGAGCCTCCTACTAATGCTAATTGCCTTGGAAGAAAACAGAATACAAACGTGGCAGCCAGCCTCCACAACTGCCTCTAATGACTCTCACACATTGAGATTCATGTCCTTGTGTAATCTCCTCCCACACTGGATCAGAGCTGTCTGTGTGAAGGCACTGGGGCTTCTGCCTTGGACTCTTGGATTGGTCAATGGGGCCTCAAATGGAGAAGCCAGTTGCCATGTCATGAGAACATTAGACAGTCCCATGAAAAGGCCTACAGAGAGAAGAGCTGAGGCCTTGGAAGTGGATCCTCCAGCCTCAGGAATTCCTGAAGATGACTATAGCCCCAACTGGCATCTGGGTCACAATCTTAGGGTAGATCCCAGAGCTCACATAAGCCACTCCCTATCTCCTGATCCACAGAAACTATGAAAGATGACAAATGTTTATAATTGTTCTAAGCCTCTGAATTTCAGGATAATTTATTACACAGCAATAGATAACTAATGCAACAAATAAGAAATTTAATAATAA